GTGTTTCAAAGGTTTTATTACTTAAAATTTCAAAGACCTTCAACAATTTTCAAAGACCTTAAATTAACACCAATGAAAAGAACATTTTATGTTTACCAGAATAACATCTTTCAACCATTGTGTGACTTCTAGCCTTATTTTGTGCAGTTAACCAATTCAGGCAGACTAAAATATGACAGATGTCATTGCCATTGAGGACTTTGTCAATGCCCACATTTCTTTACTTTAGAAGTTATCAACAGTAAAATGTTCACTGCTTCTTTTTTCCACTCCCCTTTCAACAAACTTTACTTAACATTAAACTAAAAGATTTGTTTAAAAAATATTATCCTGGGGGCACCTGGGTGGCACTATCTGACTCTTTGGCCCAGATCATGATCTAGCCTTACTGACAAAGGGCACTTTTTAAACTCTGGGAAACATTGACTAATCCAAAAATTACAGCTGTGTCACTTGAAAACAGTGCCACGTGCCTGGAATCCTTGCTGCTTAGGAGTATTGAATGATTGGGTAAGCCAACATATCATTAATTAATCAGGTATTTGCTCTGATTTAACTGATGAGTAAAGAAAGCTATTGCGATATTATTTTGTCTCCTTTTGTGTGACTGATGAGGCAGAAATAGAGTAGCTAAAGGTGCCAAAGGGGGCCCACCAGGCCATTCTGGTTCTGATTCCTTTTATTGTAATAGACCTCTGGATAGTTCATGAAAAGGGAGGAAAGAGAAACCTGTTAGCAGGAGCATTGGTTGTAATCTGTTTTTGATGATCAATGGCAGGATCCTAAAATTACACCCAAATATCACTCACAGGTTCTGAAATTGAGTTTCTGAAAAAGCACCATAGTAGTAATAGAAGTAAAGAGCAGAGTTCCAGAGAAATGAGCTGTGAATTGAACCTGCAATGGAAATTGATCCTACCAGTCAGTTTCTGCCCTTATTCATAGGAAAAACAGGACTGAGTGTAGAAGAAGCCAGGATCACTGATTAAATAGGATGCTAAAGTGCCAGAGGCTAGAACTGGGCTTGCTGGTCCCTCAGGTGAGTACTGCGACTGGCAGACTTCTCTGCAGGAAACCTGGCTGGAACTGGCAGAAACAGAACAGAATGAAAAATGCTGCCACCAGCCCAGGAAGCGGTAAGAACTCCCTGACTAAGCTTCAGGCACGACAAGACATTGCGCTCCTTAGGGAGGCCATTCTAGTCTCTTGTCATGAGTCAATGGGCCCAGACTGGGCTGGCTGGCCTCATGATTCATTCCAGTGGGGCCTGTCATGAGACCTATTCCAGTGAGGGCCGAGGGTATGAGTGTGAAGACAAATGGCCTTGGAAGTGACTCATATCCAGTAGCGTCTCTAGGATTCTGAGGAGAAAGAAGCAAATACCCGACAACGAGTGGTCCTGTGAATATAATTAATCACCCTGTTATCTAACCCTAAGAGATTTATTTTGTGCACATGTAATGGTAGTAATATATTCCAAGTTTTTTTTGGCAGTGCTCGCACTCTGCTCCTAGAAATGCAGTATGAGTTGTAATTAGCCGACTGAAATTACACATTTCTGGTTATGAAGTTGCCATTTATTGCCTCCAGTGTGATATATTTCTACAACAATGCCCTTCAAAGTCTGCAGAGATCATCAGTATAACTCACTAGAGTAAATGTCCCTGTGGAATGCCTCATTCACACTTAGTGGCATGCTAATAGAAATGGTTCCAGCAGAAACATTGAAGATAAAGTTACTATAAAACACTAACTTAAGATGTAACCATTATAAACCATGTCTGGATCAGAGCTCAATTTGCAGAATAGCAAAAGAGAAGAGAAAAAGCAATGAAATCAGGCCATTTGCTTGGGATGAGTTGAAAGGATTTTCAGATTCCCTGAGTCATTATACTTAGCCTATCAACACGACCCTCAAAGGAGGATGTTATCACAGGTACTTGGCAGTTCACGGCATTCAGTTATGTTATCAGACGTCATTTTCCCATTGCGCTTAACTAACTCTTCCCTTCTGGCCCTGGCGAGAGAAATGACAGCTCTCCATCTAAGGTAGACTGTGTTGCCTGTGTCATGGTATTGATTCAGCTTCTCTCTTAGGCTTTTGACCGATGGAAGAAGTCATGGAACGATTGGGATAAAATGGTAGTCAAAGTGGCTTTCATCCCTGCCCCCTGTTGATATGATTTGACTCTGCCATTTTGGTTTGGACATAGTAGGAGACACAACAGCACTATACCCTAGGCAAAGGCCCACAAAGAACATAAATGGAGATACTGTGTTTATAACAGCTTCTGTAAGATATTTTGTTTTGGTTAGCCAAGATCTTGAAGATGCAAGCCAGTGAGCACAAGCCTCTTTTCATCTAAGATTTAGACCTCATACAGCCTCTATCTCTAGTCTGCTAATTACCACTCTTGACAGTAGGGACTCTGGAAACTTGGTCATAGATATGGTTGTTTCATGCTATGCTTAACTATTTTACTTGGTAAATTTATGTAAACTTTGAAACAATTTTACCATGATAGAATTTTTAGAGGTATTAACAGAGAGGAATCTAGCATACATTTCAAGAAAACTTGAACAGTAAACAGAACTCTTGGTTTTTTAATCCTGGAACTTCATTCATGTGTGTATTTTCTTGACTAAGAAATGCTGAACTGATGCAGGCTTATTTATGCAGTAGAAAGTAGTTTTCTATCGAAATTAAGTTAGAACAGCATTGTTTAAACTAATATCTGAAACATTTAGTCATTTTATTAGTAAGTAAAATTGATGAAAACCTTGGAAAAATGCTTTAGAACACTTCTAATGGATACCTGTGATTAATAAGGAAAGTAGCAAAGAGATGCATGTAAATCTGTTTTTGTATAAGGAATCTGGAGCTTATTAAAAGTTTTTGTAAACATTCAACTAATGAAGCATTATATAAAATTAGACATTTCCTTTACATTGTAAAAAGTCGCTAGACTCAAAAAAAAAACCCTTCAAGTTATTTCTAAATAACTTATTTATGATATTTCTCCTAACACTAGTAATTTAAATATAAAAAAAATTGCTTTAGTAGTAAGGAACATTCCATGGGAATGCCACTCAAGATGCCCTGGGGGAGTTTTTGTCTTACTCGTCCTTGGTTCCTAGACTTATTACAGGATGGGGTAGCATGAATGATTATTATTAACCTCATTTTATGGTTTGAGCAGATATCTGGCAGATAAATCCCATCTTGCATATATAAAACCAAAGCATTATTTCAGTTGAAATGTTTTCATTTGTTGGAGGTCACAGGAAAGGGAGTAGTTCTAGGTTCTCCCTAGGTCCTAAATAATGGAGCAAACAAGGAATTTATGCACAAATGGAAATCAAGAAATGAACTTCAGTAACAGTCCAGACAAATTTCCAGTAGCCACAAAGTATAGGTAGGGTTGTCTGCCAAACCTTAGCTGGGAACATGGCATAGATCTCTCTTCTGTGGCATTAGAAAGAGAAGAAAAAGAGTCTTCACAGCACTTGTGTTCCAAGATTAAATACATGCAATCTTTATTATATTTTACATTCTTTGGTCATGTTTTAGGTAGAGTTTGGGGAATATTGAACATGCCAATTTCTTTTTATCTGATTTTCTTTTACTTTGGTAGAGACACTGCAGTAGAGAGATAAAGCAGCCTGTCTCATTGTCAGACAGGTATGAATTCATAGCCACAATCCAGCCTTGAACTAAGTTCTTGAACCAACCTAGGCTGCAATTTTTTCATCTATGTACTGGGAAGAATGGTACTTGGTTCACAGGATTGTTTTGAGGAATAGAGACTACATATAAAGCAAGTTACACATAATAAGTGCACACACAGTAAATGGTAGCTATTATTTCTCAAGTTTTCATGCTGACTTTCCCTTACCAATTGTAGATCTCTTTACATTCATGTCTGATGACCACAATTAAGGAAAACAAAAAAATTAGAATATACGGAGTAAGTATATGGGTTTTCCAAAACAGAACATTTAGGATTAGATTCTCCACAAACCCATGAAAGGTAAACTTCTTAGAAAAGTGTATAGCACATAGTAAGTGCTCAGTAAATGCTATGTATTTAGTATTATTGTATTTTCATCATCATTTCATAAAGACATTTAAGCTGTCTCTGTATATATTCTTTCTTTTAAATCATTTAAAATACTTATATTCCCTGCGTGTCATTTAAATTTCTAAGCTTGAAACTCTGTATCTGGAGCTTGGGCTCAAGAATAATACTAAGACATTGTCAGGGATAGGAAGGAGCAGTAATTGCATGAAATTCTATACAAATCTAAACTCTGAAAAGGCCTGGAGTCCTGCTCAGAAGTTTATGCTCTCTAATCATTATGTTATTTCATGCTGAATTCTCAAGCTTTTTCTCTTATGTTTTCCAATTACATAATTATAAATTAATTTAAAAAGATAAAATATATTTATCAATGAGCATTAAGATTGGCTGCATGTGTCAAAGCCTCAGAGGAAAAGAGCCTTAAATAAAAGCACTGTGTTTCTCTCTAATGAAAATTTTGGAAGTAGACAGTTCAGGGATAGTATGGTAACTCGGTGATTATCAGGAACTCTGACTCCTTCATCATTGCTTTGAATGGTTAATGTTTGAGTGCTTCATGGTCCATTATGGCAGCATGAGCAAAAGACCTCCTATCCTCAATCCACCTAATGGGCAGGAAGAAGGAAAAAAGATGGTGAGCCCTTCTTTTTAAGGACACCTCCCAGAAACTGTTCTTGTTCTCATCTTGTATGCCATTCAACAGAACTTAGGCATATGGCCATATCTCACTGCAGAAGACTGTGAAAATTGTAGTCTGGGTGTTGTTATGCCCAGCTAAGATTTAGGGATTTCATTATCATGGAAGAAGAGGAGACCAGACATGGGGGATAAGGAGGACCATCTGTGACATCTGGGCTTCACCAGAATTCTTATAATTCATTTCTCTTGTGTTTTCTTGTTCCTTCTTTTCTATATTAGATCCCATGCGTGGTCCAAGAAAACTGGAAGTGGTAGAAGTCAAATCTCGACAAATCACTATCCGCTGGGAGCCATTTGGATATAACGTAACTCGCTGCCATAGTTATAATCTCACAGTCCACTACTGTTACCAAGTCGGAGGACAGGAGCAAGTGCGAGAAGAAGTAAGCTGGGACACAGATAATTCACATCCTCAACATACGATCACTAACCTCTCACCATATACCAATGTCAGTGTGAAACTCATCCTCATGAATCCTGAGGGACGGAAGGAGAGTCAAGAACTCATAATACAGACAGATGAAGATTGTGAGTACTTTTAAATGATATGTTTGTATGAAATATATATGCCATCAGAAAAGCAGCTTTTACTTCTTTTAAATTGAGATCTCTATAATGAAAATGAAGGAGCTAGTTACTCTGTTGAATAATATAAATGTGCTTCTGAGAATGTAAGCATGGATTTAAAGAGGTAAAGGAAGAAAGATGTAGAAGTTTAATTCCTTATGAGTCATAGAGTTACCCCTCTATATGTAATTATTCTATATTGCCCTAAATAGTTCTTCATTCAAGTTTTATTATCATGTTGGACTTAAGAGTTACTGCTTGGGTATTATTCATATGAAATGCTTATTTAAATATATTGAAATGGTATTCTGAAATATACTTCTAGTTCAGATAAAAATTCACAAAATAGAGGCTGACCTTGCTTTTCAGTACAGTGCTGAGAAATTACCTCATTAGGTTGGTGGCCATATAATAGATAATACTTTCCCATAGGAACAATATTGTAATTGGATACTACCTCAGTAAACAAGGATTTAACAAATAGACAATGCGTGTCACCAGCAACTCATCAAAAAAAGCAAATACGCAATTGCAATAAACCTCTGAAATAATTTAAAATAGTAAAATTATACCTTGAATCCCATAGCATGGATATAGATGAGCTTGTACATTGATTATACAGGGGACACCCACGTACAATTACATGTGCATAAGGCACATAAAATACAGTGGTAGTGCATCATATATTTGACCTACAGTTTATTTGCCAGGCAAAGAATAAGTGGCAAAGAACTTGAGAAGCCCGTCAAATGAATATACTTACTTATTCCTGGGAAAAAGAGATGTTACACTTTTTTTTTCTTATGCAGCTGATTATGCCATGATCCTTGATTATTGATTATAACATGCACTAAATGTTTACAACAACTCTGTATTGTACCATTGAAAGAGCTGACGAAGTATTTTTGAGTGTTTATTACCCATACGATACATTCATGTTGTTGGGGAAGGAAAACGTGGGAACAGCTAGGGTAAATGAGGAGCTCACCCTACAGATTTCTCTTCTCCTTTCTGTAGCCCCACAACCTACCTGTGCTGATTGCTCTCAAATAGTTGTCTGACTGCAGTTATTTTTGTAAGGAGTATTAGTTTGCTACAGGTCACCCAATCAGGCTGCACTAGAAGCCCTGTCTGTGTTTCTTCCAGTTCTTCCTCATCTCTCCTAAAAGTGAGGAGAAAGTGCCAACATTGTCAGTGGGTCACCTCTGACTCTTTCCCCCCTGCACCCCACATTTCTGTGCTTCCTTTGGTTCTGACTCCTGCTGTTTCTACTCCCAAAATTTTAGAGTGTGCTTTTTCTCTCAATTTCCACTACCTGTATACAGATCCTCATTATTTCATGCTGAAATTTCTCACCTTCCTTGGTGGTTCCAGCTTTACCCCATTTTAATATTGCCTACTCACCCACAAAATGAATCTGTAAAATACAGTTGCATCTCTATGGTGTTTGTTGTTAGTTCTCCTCCTTTGTTTCTGATTTTATTTATTTGAGTCCTCTCTCTTTGACATCAGTTATAGAAACATTTTTCTAGGTATGTCTTCTCTGGCAAGGGAAATAAAAGCAAAATTAAACTTCGGGGACTACATCAAAATAAAAAACTTCTGCACAACAAAGGAAACGATAAAAAAAAGGCAACCTACTGAATGGGGGGGAGATATTTGCAAATGATATATCTGATAAGGGGTTAATATTCAAAATATATAAAGAACTTATACAACTCAGTACCAAAAGAACAAATAATCCAGTTAAGAAATGGGCAAAAGACCTGAATAGACATTTTTCCAAAGAAGACATCCAGATGGCCAACAGGCACATGAAAAGATGCTCAACATCACTCATCATCAGGGAAATGCAAATTAAAAACTACAGTGAAATATCACCTCACACCTGTCAGAATGGCTAAAATCTAAAACACAAGAAACAAGTGTTGGTGAGGATGTAGAGAAAAAGGAACCCTCGTGCACTGTTGGTGGGGATATAAATTGATGCAGCCACTGTGGAAAACAGCATGGAGGTTCCTCAAGACATTAAAAATAGAATTACTGTAAGATCCAGTTATTCTACTACTGAGTATTTAACCCCCAAAAATGAAAACACTAATTCAAAAAGATATGTGCACCCTTATTTTTATTGCAGCATTATTTATAATAA